TTGGAATTCAGTATTGCATACATTGGTTATAGCATTTCTGGATTTTCTACTTTGGCCAAATTAATTGATGGTTAGGAGTCATACAGAAGGCACTTTGAAAGCACCTCTAATCCTTGTGTTTTTTTTTTTGTTGTTGTTTGTTTGTTTGGGTTTTTTTTTGAGAGGTTTTTGCTATAGGGCGCGTGCCCTTGCCAGAAAGACAGAGACAGAGAGACAGAAAGCGAGAAATTACCCCCCAGGGGGGATGGTCACGCCATAATCCCTTCTTCTATTCTCCTTTCAGGATATAGGGCACTCAAGAACATGCACCCGGCATGAGTTTAAAACCTCCGGGTCCGGGACTTGAACCACGGTCGACTACATGGGAGTCCAGTGACATAGCCATTACGCTAACTGCTGGTCCCTCTTGTGTATTTTTTAACACTCAAACTCTGGAAACTTTTATTGCAGCCAGGTCATAATTAACTATGCTACATAGTATAAAAAATAAGGTAAGACTATTAGAAGTCAGTCATAACATTTTAGAGGTAAGAGGTGGAATCTTAGAGATAATCTAGTTAGATATCTTTATTTTCTAGTGGAAACTGATTTAGTGAGGCTAGTTGAAGCCTGTCAGAAGTCCCTGAGAGGGACAGAAGTGCCACAGTCACTTCCCCATTCTCCTCTTGGTGTTCTGGGCGTGCACACACATGTCCTGTATGTTTTTACAGCCGTAGAGTACAGGACTTTTAACGGCACAGTTGGCCATGTGGGATCCAGCCACCCCAACCACCAAGCCACTGGTTGGCCCAAGTGCATCTATTTAAAATAAAATTTAGGGCCAGCAGGTGGTGTGGTAGTTAAGGTGCTGGATCCCCACATGGGTAGCCCTGGTTTAAGTCCCTGAGCTGGCAGCTTGAAAAATCACTCCAAGCTCGTATGAGTGCATGCCCAAAATCTCAGGGAGCAGAGAATTGAGGAGATGGAATTATGGTGTGTCCCTCTCCCACTGGGTGATTTCTCACTTTCCCTCTTTCTGTTTCTCTGGTGAGTCCACACTACCTATGGCATAAACCTCTAAAGAAAGCCAAAGTAAAGGAAAATTTTAGCATTTATATTTAAAATACAAAATGATTTACAGTACCTTACAACATTTTTATACTTAGATTTTGACTGTTTTCCCTATTAAAGGGCTACAACGTCAAAAACAGTCATATAACCACTTTGGGGCTTGACAAATATGGGTCAGAGGATCTCTCTGAATCTAGGACAGATTAAATATCTTAATTATGCTTTAGGTTCCACCTTTTTGCCCCTTCCCCCCAGGACTTTTTATTTGTCATTATTAAGAATGTGATTTTCAAACAGATTCTTGGATGGGTGGTTCATATCCGTCAGCCCGTTCAACTTTAGCACCTATCTCATAGTAGCTTTTCCAGGGCTACTACCTTCACGGTGAAGCTCCATGAGTTTTCCCAATTCAAATTTGGGCTCCTTCAGCATTTTTACTTTTCTGATTAAGGCATCATGAAGAAGGTAGGCGGATCGGCAGCCTTTCCTACGTCTTTTCCAACGCTGTCTGGTATCAATTTATTAACCTTTTTTTTTCAAGTCATTTGTCTGCACCTCCCGGGTCATGACTTCATCATCATCTTCTGAAATTGGCAAACCTGCTGCTGCTGAGCATAAGAGGTCTTCCATTTCTGATTGTTGATTTTTTTGTTTTAGTAAACCCCACACGGAAGAGATGAAGTAAATAACCATCTTGACATCCACATGAGCTTCAATCGTGGTCTCCCATTTTTTGACCATGGAGCCCATTTTGTCATGGGTAAGATCCATGTCATGGAAGTTAGGCAGTTTTTACCCTGAACATCCCCAGTAATGAGCTTGAATTTTCTAAATGCAACTTGATCATTCCGCAGAGCTACAGGGCCACCAGGTGCAATTTTGGTTCCACGAGTCCTGGTGATGGGTGTTTTCCCAATATTTCTTATATTGAACATAGTCGGTTTTCAACAACATACCAGTCTTTTTTTAGAAAATGGATCAACTACTTTCTTGTTGGCTTCTTTTTCAAAGAAGTTTTTGCCTTAGGGCATATGTACTCACCAGAGAGAAACAGAAACAGTGAGAAGGAAAGTGGGGATGGCCATGCCACAGTCCCTTCTCCAATCACCTCTCTGGATTTTAGATGGGTACGCATACACGCACAGGCGCCCAGCATGAGTTTTTTATGTCACCAGGTCCGTGACTCGAACTGTGGTCAACGACATGGGATTCCAGTGACGTAACGATTATGCCATCTGCTGGTCCCCCAATTTACTGTTTTTAAATAACCTTTTTATTTTGGCATAATTTTCTGTTTACAGAAAAGTTGGGTGATGGTATAGACAGGTGTCATATCCTTCACCTGGTTCCCGTTGTTGGTATCTTGTGTTACCACAGAACAGTGAAAGTAAGAAACTGACCTGTTGATCACTATTACCTGGTCTCTAGACTATTTGGATTTCTTTGTTTTTTCAGTTATTATCTTCTTTTTTGTCTGAGGTTACCACGTACCTTCTGCTCTCTCCTACTTTGTCATAATTTCTCAGGCTTTTGTCATTTCTTATGACCTTGAGTTTCGAGGAGTACTAGCTGGGTATTCTCTAATGTGGATTTTATCTGGTGCTTTTCACATGACTTGTTTTTTTGTTTGTTTATTTGTTTGTTTGTTTTAAGAGGGATTTTTCACTTCTGGAGAGACAGAAAACGAGAAATCAGCCCCCAAGGAGAGGGCCACACCGCAATCCCTTTTCCTCTATTTTCCTCTCGGGATTTTGGGCACGCACACATGTGCCTGGTGTGAGTTTTAAGCTGCCAGGTCTGGGACTTGAACTGTGGATGGCCATGTGGGAGCCTAACAGCATAACCATTATGCCATCTGCTGGTCCTGGGGTTATGAGTTCTAGTCTTGTCACAGCATGTCAGGGCTGACGCGTTGTCCACATGTTGTCATTCATAGCGTGTGGTCAAGGTCACGTTGACCGGGTTGCTCCGCGTTCAGCAGAGTTGCTTCTGTGTTTTTCCTTTCCATTCTCTGTTCTTGGGAAGCACACCCTTAAGTCCAGCTAAGCTCCACGCCCTGAAGGAAGATTTGCATTTAAATGGAATTCCTCTTAAAGATCTCTTCTCTATTTGTTTTTGTTTGTTTATGTGCTGTTTCCTGTTTGGGGTTATAATCAAGTACTACATTATTCATTCTGTTGGCTCAGATGGTTCCCCCTTTGGCCATTGGGAGTTCATTTAGGTTGACCACTGTGTCCCATTTCTCCTTCCCAGTTCTAGAGTTGGCCCTTTCTCCGAGGAGCCCTGACTCTCTTTATTGGAGAATGTGTACAGAAATTAAAGTCTGGGCACCACATGTGCTCGCTGTCACTGGGATGTCACTGCTGCTGGGCCCTCTCCATGACAGAGCTGGGTGACCTCAGGGACCAGCACATGGCATAATGGTTACATTGCTGGACTTGCGCATGGTCAGGCCTGCGGCTGAAAATTCACGCCAGGCGCATGTGCTTGCGTGCGTGCCCAAGATCCCGAGGGGGGAATGGAGAAGGGATTGTGGTGGCCATATCCTTGGGAGTGGGGGGATTTCTCGCTTTCTGTCTCTGTCCAGTCACACCGACCTCAGGGACCCGCACATGGCATAATGGTTACATTGCTGGACTTGCGCATGGTCAGGCCTGCGGCTGAAAATTCACGCCAGGCGCATGTGCTTGCGTGCGTGCCCAAGATCCCGAGGGGGGAATGGAGAAGGGATTGTGGTGGCCATATCCTTGGGAGTGGGGGGATTTCTCGCTTTCTGTCTCTGTCCAGTCACACACCCTATAGCAAAAATCTCTTTAAAAAAACCAAAAAACAATAACAAAAAAAACAGGCAGTGTAAATAAGTGTGCTAACCCACATATACGCACGGGTTTCTTTCTAACCATGTGGATTTATACTAAGCTAAGCATGAGGTCATATAGATGTCCCTGTTTGATTCTCATCTTATCTGGCTTATCTGTAACATTTCTGCCATCCATTTTCTTAATCAACCCGAGTATATGTCAAAAGCAGTTTCAAAATTTTGAACTGCTATTTCTGTGAGAAATACAGATTTACCCACAAGAGTGTCGTATTCACTTTATCTCTAGCTTTCTAATTTTTTCACAGTAGATGCCTGCTCCTATGCAGCTTGTTGTGATTCTCAGGGCCTAAGCTATTTATCAGTATTTTTGAGTTGATTACCCTTGTCATTTTCTGAGGCTACTGAGATGAATTCTGTCACGGAGAAATGTGAAGGAGTAATTGCTGAGCGAGCCACAAGGTTTCTGTGATCAACTCTCAGGTGCTGGGTGTGTGCATTATTTATTTATTTCGGTTTTTGGTACCCAATGCGGATTCCTTTACTCACAGTATTCTTTTACAGATCACCCTGTACCTTATGCTTTGTGTGTACTGACTGAGCGTGAAGCAGTGCAGCACCTTTAAGAACTGTGTGGTGCCTTACACATAGTAACCAGAATCTTTTTTTTTCTTTGGTTTTTGTATACTCCTTAGCAGTTCTTCAAAATATACATTCATCTATTTTTAAAAAAAATTTTTTGTCAATGAGTTTTTAGATCTTTTTAGTTTTTATATTAGTTAATTTATGCTTTTGGACAAAGGCTTTATAGGAGAGGCAGCCTTGACTTTTACCGAATCCCAGCTTAAAAATTGATTTGGCCAAATAAAGGAAAAATTTGTATATACATGGCCAAAACTTAACACTTGGGGAATTTCTTTTTTTAGTCTTTTGTTTGATAAAACTTGCCTGAGATCTGTGTTTTAGGAATTATGCTTTTAACTTTTTAAAATCAAAATCTGTTGAATTCTTATGAGTTAGAGATTCCAGAGTGTTCCGTTTGTTTTCCCGTCTAGGAAATGATTTAAAATAGCTGTCTTGTGCTAGTGTTGGAATGTTCCTAGAAAGTAAATGTGTTTCTTTGGATCTGAAGTCTAGAGCATGTTTGGAAAGGATTCAAGAGTTGGAGGACATGCTTGCTAAAGAAAGAGACAACTCTCGTCGCATGCTGTCTGACAAAGAGAGAGAGATGGCGGAAATCAGGGATCAGATGCAGCAGCAGCTGAACGATTACGAGCAACTTCTTGATGTGAAGTTGGCCCTGGACATGGAAATCAGTGCTTACAGGAAACTGTTAGAAGGCGAAGAAGAGAGGTAAGGAATTTATGGGTTACTGTGGAAGTTTTTATTTAAAGTAAAATGTAACTAAAAAAGAAAAATCATTGCCCGAGAGTACATGCAAGAGAGAGAGAGAAAAGCACCTTCCAACAGGGCATGGTCTGTTGGTCCATTCTGTCAGGATTTGGGACACACACAGACACACACGAATCCACTGTGTATTTTTTTTTTAAAGCTGCTGGAGCCAGGATTTGTCCATTCTATCAGGATTTGGGACACACACAGACACACATGAATCCACTGTGTGTTTTTTTTTTTTTAAAGCTGCTGGAGCCAGGATTTGTCACGTGGTTGTCATGTGGAATCTGGCTTTTTATGCACAGTGTTTAGCTTAGCCGCTATGCTATAGAGCTGGCTCCAAATAGGAATTTTTGAAAACTGATTTGGCAACTTTAAATATTTATCAGGATTTGGGACACACACAGACACACATGAATCCACTGTGTGTTTTTTTTTTTTTAAAGCTGCTGGAGCCAGGATTTGTCACGTGGTTGTCATGTGGAATCTGGCTTTTTATGCACAGTGTTTAGCTTAGCCGCTATGCTATAGAGCTGGCTCCAAATAGGAATTTTTGAAAACTGATTTGGCAACTTTAAATATTTCCTGTGTCATTTATTTTAACGCCTAGGTATAAAGGTGGTGATAGAACATATTTCCTTTCTTCTTTTATTGTCTCTCCAGAAAATGTGTGTGGAAGAGACGGAAGTACACAGAGAAGGGGGAAAGCGCCCCCCGGTGGGGCATGGCCATGCTGCAGTCTCTTCTCCACATTCCCGCATTCAGTCAGGGTTTTGTACGTGTACATACATGTGCCTGGCATGCTTTTCAAGTCCGTAGGGCTGGGGTTTGAACCGTGGTTGGCCATGTGGGAACCAGTTCTTTCAACTACTAGGCCATGGACTGGCTTCTCATATTTCTACTTGAACAGTGGGAGGTGTTATGCAAGGCGTCTTAGTTTATTATTTTAAATGCTGGACCATGTCAGGATTGAATCGCTCCTTTGAGATTTTACATTTTGTAATTTATATAGTAAACTATCAGGTTTCCTGAGAATCTTTATACTTGTATTTCATATTTGGTTAGTGTATACATCCTTTAATACCTGTTCTCAGAAAAGAGTTCCACAGGGAAAGTGGCTGATGTAGGATAATCGGCCCATCAGTTTCAATGTCTTGTATCATTTGGTTGTAATAAAATTCAGGTAAAGAGAAAACGGTACAGTAAATATCTAACAGTGGTCGTGGAGGTAATGGGCTAACACCCAGCCCTATTGTTCTTCAGACCTCTTGCATTACAGTTATATTGCTTCTATTCCTGCAGGAAACATTCACATTTTCCTTATTATTTTAAAATTAATAGTGGGCTTAAATAACCTTATCGAAATTAAGGTGGGATATCTGCTCCGTCTAAAATCAACAGCAATGCTTTGATTTAGAAATGTATGTGCGGGATATTAGTTTACTTTTTCAGGTGAGAAGGGAGTGTGAGTTTCACAAACGGCCTTTCTGTTCCCCTCGCAGGTTGAAGCTCTCGCCAAGCCCGTCCTCCCGTGTCACAGTTTCCCGAGCATCCTCCAGCCGCAGTGTGCGCACGACCAGGGGAAAGCGGAAGAGAGTCGATGTGGAGGAATCCGAGGCGAGCAGCAGTGTTAGCATCTCTCATTCTGCTTCCGCCACTGGGAACGTCTGCATTGAAGAGATCGACGTCGACGGGAAATTTATCCGCCTAAAGAACACTTCCGAGCAGGTGAACCAGAGGGCCCGTTTCCCCAGCAAGGTTGTGCAGATGGGGCTGTCCTGAGGTGGTAGTAGTTCTTCACTTTTATTGGGATTCAGTAAATCTTCACAGAATGATTTGCCTCTTTTTTTTTTTTTTTCTACTTGAATTCATGAAATAAAGTAAAAATGAAAGTAGGAAGAGAAGAGGTGATGGCTTTTAGTGGTTTAAAGATATTTTTTATGAAGCCAGAGCTTTTTTCGCTTGGTCATTTTGTCATAGTGGCCTTCCCAAGGCAGAATTCTTATGCCCTACCCAGATTGTGAAAATGGTGAATATTCTTTCACTTTTATTAAGCTGTTAATTTAATAAAAACTTCCTGAAAGAAGGAAATAGGAGGGCCAACCTGCAGCAAGGTGGTTAAAGTGGTTGGATCCCACGTGCCTGACTGCCTGGTTCAAGTCCTGGACTTGTCCTGTAAAACATGCCAGGTGCATGTGCATGCATGTGTGCCCAAAACTCCCAGGGGGAGAATGGAGGAGAGGGGGTTTCAGAGTAGGGAGATCCATCCCTCTCCCTCTCTCCACTCCTTTCCTCTCCTTCTCTCTCTCTTTCTCTCCCTTCTCCCCTCTCTCTCCAGGAAGTGTACGTTCCTTACAGCAAAATTACAAACTGAATTTTTTTTTGTGAGAGGTGGGGAGAGATTTTTACTATAGAACACATGTACTTGCCAGAGAGACAAAAAGAAATCAAGTCCCTGGGGGATGGCCACACTGCAATCCCTTCTCCATTGGGCACGCATGCATACCTGCCCGGCATGAGTGTTCTGTTTTTGTTTTTGAAATATACATTTAATCACAATGTATTACTTGGTTTATCAAGTAAATTTACTCAACATAAATATACACCTCATGAGTTTTAAGCCGCCTGGTCTGGGACACAAACTGTGGTCAACTACATGAGAGTCCAGCGACATAACCATTATACCATCTGCTGTTCCCACAAAGTAAATTTTAAAGAAAAGTAAATATGGGCCTCAATTCATATATTAAGGGATATTTTTCTCTTAAGTGAATGAGTAAATGCTGACTTAACTTACATGTAGAATAGTTGGAAGCTGTGTCACAGTATATTCACAGCAAGGCTTGCTGGGGCTAGGGCTGGGGCTGCGAAGCGTGTGGTGATGCAGAGGAAGGCAGAGCTGCGGGAGTTGGGCACAGTGGAATGGATGTCCACAGGTGTCTCTCCAGGTCTACCGCAAATTGTGCTGAGAGTCAGTCCCTTGTGCGCCAGAGCTGTCTTGCATGTGGATGGAGAAAACATTGAATGAGCCAAGGGTCACTAGCACTCTGGTCCCGAAGAGAACAGGCTCTGAAGTCTCTGTCCCCGCTTTGTTTTTAATTAGCCCCTGTACTCCGCTGTTGGGTGGATACCAGCATGAATAGAGTTACTCTGGAACCGACCATCAGCCTGGTGTATTTTTGTCTTTGAGTAAGAGACAGGCATAAACTAGTGTAGCTAATGGCCATATGGTCCTGCACCTTCCCTCAGATGTCAGGCAGCTGTGTGCAGCTTGCAGGCAGGAGATGATAGCTGTCAGCAACCAAGTAGTGGGGACCAGCAGGTGGCATGGTGGTTAAGGTGCTAGACGCTCCCACGTGGCCTACCACAGTTCGAGTCCTGGACCTAGTGGCTTGCTTTCTCACTTTCTCTGTCTCTGTTTCTCTCTCTGGTCAAATTAAAATAAATGAATGAATAAATAAAATTAAATAAATAATTATTTTAAAAATTACCAAATAGTAGATATTTATAGTTGTGATTATGATAGTTAAATTGTGTTGTAAATTTGAAAGAGCCACCTGATCTAATAGTGAAATAATGACCATTTAAGTTGGTTCATATCGTTTCTTTCCAGCCTTGTCCTCTTCAAAATGAAGTACTTTACTAATTTACTATAGCATTGTCAAAATTACTGTTTGCTGAGTGACAAAATCATGTTTTCTTTTCAGTAGGAGTTATGAGAAGATACATAAAGTTTAGCTGCCTTTATGAGTTGATTTATTTGAGTATCCTATAATTTAACGGTATATTTCAAGTAACCTTGTGTCATTTCATTCTGTGATTAGGATCAGCCAATGGGAGGCTGGGAGATGATCCGAAAAATTGGAGACACATCAGTCACTTACAAATATACCTCAAGATATGTGCTGAAGGCCGGCCAGACAGTTACAGTAAGTGGATTTAGTCATCATTTAATTGAACTTCATTGTTTTAACTAATGGATAGGTAATTAAAAAAAATTTTTTTGGCTTAAAGTGAAGTTTTATAGAAATGGGCATTAAGACATCTTTGACACTAGGGTATTTATTACAAGGGCTATTAGAGATTTAAAATATTCTATTTTACTGAGAGTGATAAAAAAAACTGACCTTAAAATTCTTTGTGTCTTATCTAGTCCAGTAGATAAAAAATCACTATCTCTTGACTAATACTTACAACCCAGTGTCATCCAGAAGCCATTCCTTGGCTTAAAGAGCAGTGAGGTAGTTGACCCTAGCTCATGTCAAGGACAGCAGCCGTCAGCCTTGGGCTAGCCTCAGAATCATCGGGGTATGTCTGGTGTCTAAGCCCCACTTCACTTGCTCTGTTCCTGGGATTGAGGTAGTGTCTTCGATTTTGAACATAAGTTCTTAGTGATAGGCACCCTTGTAAAAAGAGTCACTACTTTGAAACATCTTAGCAAGAGTAACATGGCTTTTGTATGGTGCCTAAGTTCTGGATTTAAAGGAAGATAGGGAGGGCCTCGTTCTGGCTCTTAAACTCTCTATGTAGCTCTCTCCTGGTGTGTTTTGAAATAGCACATGTATAATACCCAGTCTGTTTCATTTCCTTACGTGTGCCCACATGAGCGAGAGAAAGAAAGCCCGCTATGGGGTCTGGCCGCACCGCAGTTCTCTCTCGCCCACAAGCCTCAGCTATCGGGTATTCAAATGCATGTCAGGCAAGTTTCAGGCTAAATGAGCTGAGGGTTCAGACTCTCTGGTCAAATTAAAATAAATGAATGAATAAATAAAATTAAATAAATAATTATTTTAAAAATTACCAAATAGTAGATATTTATAGTTGTGATTATGATAGTTAAATTGTGTTGTAAATTTGAAAGAGCCACCTGATCTAATAGTGAAATAATGACCATTTAAGTTGGTTCATATCGTTTCTTTCCAGCCTTGTCCTCTTCAAAATGAAGTACTTTACTAATTTACTATAGCATTGTCAAAATTACTGTTTGCTGAGTGACAAAATCATGTTTTCTTTTCAGTAGGAGTTATGAGAAGATACATAAAGTTTAGCTGCCTTTATGAGTTGATTTATTTGAGTATCCTATAATTTAACGGTATATTTCAAGTAACCTTGTGTCATTTCATTCTGTGATTAGGATCAGCCAATGGGAGGCTGGGAGATGATCCGAAAAATTGGAGACACATCAGTCACTTACAAATATACCTCAAGATATGTGCTGAAGGCCGGCCAGACAGTTACAGTAAGTGGATTTAGTCATCATTTAATTGAACTTCATTGTTTTAACTAATGGATAGGTAATTAAAAAAAATTTTTTTGGCTTAAAGTGAAGTTTTATAGAAATGGGCATTAAGACATCTTTGACACTAGGGTATTTATTACAAGGGCTATTAGAGATTTAAAATATTCTATTTTACTGAGAGTGATAAAAAAAACTGACCTTAAAATTCTTTGTGTCTTATCTAGTCCAGTAGATAAAAAATCACTATCTCTTGACTAATACTTACAACCCAGTGTCATCCAGAAGCCATTCCTTGGCTTAAAGAGCAGTGAGGTAGTTGACCCTAGCTCATGTCAAGGACAGCAGCCGTCAGCCTTGGGCTAGCCTCAGAATCATCGGGGTATGTCTGGTGTCTAAGCCCCACTTCACTTGCTCTGTTCCTGGGATTGAGGTAGTGTCTTCGATTTTGAACATAAGTTCTTAGTGATAGGCACCCTTGTAAAAAGAGTCACTACTTTGAAACATCTTAGCAAGAGTAACATGGCTTTTGTATGGTGCCTAAGTTCTGGATTTAAAGGAAGATAGGGAGGGCCTCGTTCTGGCTCTTAAACTCTCTATGTAGCTCTCTCCTGGTGTGTTTTGAAATAGCACATGTATAATACCCAGTCTGTTTCATTTCCTTACGTGTGCCCACATGAGCGAGAGAAAGAAAGCCCGCTATGGGGTCTGGCCGCACCGCAGTTCTCTCTCGCCCACAAGCCTCAGCTATCGGGTATTCAAATGCATGTCAGGCAAGTTTCAGGCTAAATGAGCTGAGGGTTCAGACTGGTCATCAGCATGGGGTCCCGCACCTCATGAGCAGTGCTGTTTGACCTGTTTCAGGTGGTGGTTAGGTTTTCCCTCATATCTGGGTGATTTATTCCTTTATTACATTCTTTGTGGAACTCAGTCTCAGACGTTTGGGTATTACACTACCGTCTCTGGAGCAGACTTAACAGTTTCCATGACTATTCTAGATAGACTATCTGCTGCAGAAAAGGCCTCCCCAGTTCCTGCTGTGGGCAGCTGGAGGACACTTTGGAAGGGGTCAGAGGCTCTGATGTGGAGAATGACGTATAAAGCCCATCAACAATGACTAGAACACTAAGGCTGCTGTTTATTGCGGGAGCCGGCCCAGCCCGTGTTTGTGTGCCATCACTGGCTCTCCATAGCAGTCGCACCGTTTTGCCCTCCTGTATGGGTGACGAGTACGGCCACTGTCGGTCCTCGGCATGCGAGTGGAGGCAGCGACACGTGTGGGTGCTCTGGGTCAGCATCTGTCCTTATCCCGTGGGGGAGCTGAGGCCTTGGTTCTGAGCTCCGGATGCACGGCTAGTTAACATAGCAACTTGGAAGCTGGGACACAGTGCTCAGACTTTGAGAATCGCCTGTTCAAGTCTCTCGTGTTGCTGTCGTTGATATTTTAGGTTCTGGGTGTACTGATGTACTTTTATTTTTATTTTTCCAGATTTGGGCTGCAAATGCTGGTGTCACAGCTAGTCCTCCCACCGACCTCATCTGGAAGAACCAGAACTCTTGGGGCACTGGTGAAGATGTGAAGGTTATCTTGAAAAATTCTCAGGGAGAGGTACGGCCGTTGTATCTTATCCATAGCATCTTAGGGTCGGTTTCACCTGGGAGTTCATTGTGCAAGATGATTTCTTTTCAGAAATCAACTTGAAGTGTGAAGCAGCTGATGGCTTAAATCAGGCCTAGGCTTCTGAGGAAATCTCACTGAAGTTGTTTTTAAATTTTAAGACTAACTACGCATGTTGGCAGTATCTTGTGGCGTGCTTACAGGGTCTGATGAGCTTTTCGCCCACGTGCAGGCCAGCAGCCTCCGTGCTTCGTACTTTGCAGCGTGACCAGGACGTGCGTCAGTCGCGTGATGCTGAAGGGGAGCGTTAGGCTGCCACACTGGCAGGGGTGCTCATTTGTGCACCAGCCGCTCTGTGCTGGGGAGATGGCTGGAAA